CATAACAAACAAAGAGAGCTTGGTCCAGGAAATGAAAATAGGGGACGTTGAAATACTGACCAAGACCTAAATAAAGGAGCCCAGGAATCTAAATCCCCAACAGAGGTTGGGGGGTAAGAGCCGCCTGTCATCTGCGTCACTGATCTTCGAGCACGAATACAGTTCTTAAGCCCCCATGTCCTAACACTGTATCCAAGTGGATGGTTCAGCCTTGCTCCAGCTTCACTCCCACTCAGACAGCAGGAGCTGCTTCTGTGAGGCTGATGCTGAAAAAAGACTTCACTGCTCAGAAGCCTACAGAACAGAAAATCATGGTAATAATCGCCTTCTACACAGACGCCTCAGGTGGCAAACTGTTCTTTTCAAAACCTCTCTCTGGGGCCAGCAGAGGCTGATCTGGATTCGATCCTCGGCATCTCAGATGGTTCTCCAAGCACTGTCACGACTGACTCCCAATTACAGAGCTCCGAGTAACCCCTGAGCATCACTGGGTTACTCCAAAATAAATAAAAACCAAAACCAGAAATAAATAAAAACCTCTCTCCATTAAGACATTCCTAGTGCTCGTATTAAGATTACTATGATGGTGCTCGCTTCGGCAGCACATATACTAAAATTGGAACAATACAGAGAAGATTAGCATGGCCCCTGCGCAAGGAGGACACGCAAATTCGTGAAGCGTTCCATATTTTTTACTGGTGGAGGGATGGGTACTCGATCCTTGTATAACTGAAACCCAAGCACAAAAATCTGTAAGTCTACAACTGTACCTCATGGTGTTTCACTAATGAAAATTAAAAAAAAAAAAAACCTCCCAAGAGAAAATGTACTGATTAAACTTAAAGATCTTTTTTAAAAAAATTACTATGATGAAACTCACTCACTGTATCACTGCCATCCCATAGTTCATTTACTCGAGCGGGCGCCAGTAACATCTCTATTCCTCCCAGCCTGAGATTTCAGCAGCCTCTCCTTACTCTCTTTCCCAAGGACTGGAGGCTCTTTCAGGGGCAGGGGAATGAGACCTGTTATCATTACTGTTTTTGGCAAATCAAATACGCCATGGGAGGCTTGCCCGGGTATTAGTAAGATATTTATTTGGGGCTTATTTATGTGCTTTGTATAATACTTGGTGCTTTGCATGTGTTGTGCCATTTAATTTTCATGACAATGCCACAAAGGAGGAATTATCATCATCATACTCTTCAGTAAGATAGGAATGAAGAAAATTAAGTACAATTTTGCCAAAATCATACCATTAAAATTATCATGAGGCTTTTTTCTTTCTAGAGAAACCCGTGTTCTCTCGAACATGTATGCCTCTCTCTCTCCCCTCAGACTTCTATAATTTCTTTCAATAAAAACCATTTTGTGGGGGTGTCTGAGAGATAATACTGCAGGTAAGGTGGTTGCCTTGCATGTGGCTGACCTGGGTTCAATCCCCAGCACCCCATATGATCCCCCAGGCCTGCCAGGAGTGATCCCTGAGTGCAGTGCCAAGAGTAAGCCCTGAGTACCACCAGGTATAGTCCCAAACAAAAAAGGGTATTTGGGTCAGGGTGACAGTATAGCAGGTAGGACAGCAGAGCAGGTGGGGCATTTGCCTTGCATATGGCTGGCTTGGGTTCAATCCCTGACATCCCATAGAGATTCCAAAGCACCACCAGGAGTAATTCGTGAGTGCAAAGCCAGGAGGAACCCCTGAGCACCGCCAGGTGTGTTCTAAAAACCAAACCAAACAAACAAAAAGCTCATTTCGTAAAGGAAAGATAGTACAACACTTGCCTTCCACATGGGAAACCCGGCGCCGTGGCTTAGCTGGTTAAAGCGCCTGTCTAGTAAACAGGAGATCCTGGGTTCGAATCCCAGCGGTGCCTACGGTATATTATTGGGCTGGAGCGATAGCACAGCGGGTAGGGCGTCTGCCTTGCACATAGCCAACATGGCCAACCCGAGTTCGATTCCTCCGCCCCTCTCAGAGAGCCCGGCAAGCTAACGAGAGTATTCGATATGCCAGACACAGTAACAACAAAGTCTCCAATGGAGACGTTACTGGGCCCGCTCGAGCAAATCGATGATCAACGGGAGGGCCTTTATTATTATGGGAAACCCAGATTTCATCCCTAGCATCCCACACAGTCCCCTGATCTCTACCAGGAGTGATCCCTGAGCACAAAGCCAGGTATGGTTTAAAAAATAAAAGTAAATATTTAAAATAAAGTTTTGCTTCACACAAACTATATATAAAACGTGAGACAGATTTTGATTCAACTGGGTATGGGGGGAGGGGACTGAGCCACACTCTTGAGTGCTCAGGGCCTAGTACTCCCGGCCACGGTCCTGGGAGTGGGGGGAGGGGAGTGAAGAATAAAGCAAGGGGAATCAAAGCGGGCCTCTCTCATGATCTCTGACCCTTGAGCTACTGCTATCTCACCCAAATAAGCCTAGTTTTGAAGAAGTTCCTCCCACAAATCCCACCCACTAACCTCTGAGTCCATTTCCTCTTACCATGACTCCTTAGAAGAGAGACTAGTAAAGATCAACACACACAATCCAACCCTTCATGAGCACCAACTCACTTTCACTCTTTTCAGCCTACTGCGGTCTCCGTTATGCTTGCATTAGCTATGATAATAGCAGCTACCAGTCACTGGCACCAGTTGTGCCAGTCACCACAGACATACTCCGGTACCTCCTTGTAATCTGCAGGATCCCAAATGCAGACATTCTGAAAGACTTAACATCGAATGGAAAGAGCCCCGTGACTACACTGGCGAAACAGGAGGCCTAGAATTTCAGATAAAGGCTGTGTCGGTGGAGACGTAACAGAGTGGGGAAGGTGTTTACCTTACATGTGCCTGATCCAGGTTTGATCCCCAGCACCCATTTTGGTGTCCTGTGGTCTGCAGTGATCCAGAACACAGCACAAGGACAGAGTGGACCAAAAACAAACGAACAACAAAATTGTGTTGTAATAATATTTCTCTGTCTCCATTTTTTTGGGGGGCTACATCCAGCTTGCTCAGAGCTTACTGCTGGCTTACTTCTGGCTGTGCTCAGGGATCACTCCTGGCAGGCTCAGAAGACTCTCATGTAAGGCAAGTGCCCTACTACTACTGCGACAGCCTCTCAAGATCTTAGTTTCCGTTATTCATTCCAGTTCTGTGCGCCTTAGGAAAGTGGAGAAATCAAGACCTTTTAATTACAGAGGCTTAAGAGTATCTCCAGTTGTGAACTGCTTTCACTTAATCACTTAACTTCCCGTTAGTCGTTGATTTGCTCGAGCGGGCACCAGTAACGTCTCCATTTGTCCCTGTCGCGTGCTAGTGTAGCCCAATGGCATCTGTGAACTGCTTTGTAAAAATTAAATTAAAAAAAGACTGTCTCTAGTCCTTGCTGTCACACACCATCCTGCTGCCTTTTTTCTTTACACTGCGGTTAGAAGAGTTTTGAATTCTAACCATTCACAGCCTGTATTCAACTACGAGTGCCTACTCTGTGCACGGGCAATGTGGGACATACGAGTGACATCGAATTCTGGCACTCAAAGAGAACTAGATTCTTTGGAAAAGCAACAGAAAAATCTGATCATGCAAGCCAATAATTCTATGCAGGGAGAAAGGACACAGGTGAATGTGATACACTGGGTCCATCTACATCCAAGTCCAACGATTCAATCTGGGAAAAGGTGATCTCATCTGGTTCCGTCTCTCCGAAGGAGCTTTCACAGATACAGCTACTCAAACTCGGGTCGAACGTGCAGCCCACTGAGCCACAGCCAGTCCCAGCAAATGGACAAAATGACCCCAGAAGCTCAAGACAAAATGGCAGCAAAGAGTGTCACCACCAGATCCGGGAGAGGGAAGGCTGCCTGCAGACTCTGCCCCGTCGCGGGGGCCACGCAATCAGACGCCAGCAGCAGCTCTCCTGCCCATAAAACTTTCATGCACGGACCAGGGGCGAGCCACTCGACAGCAGCAGGCAGGTTTCCAGTTACCCTTCTTCCTCCCACTGGGGTAACCTCGCTCTGTCTTCTCACTCCGGACCACAGAAAGCTCCTCTGGGCAAGGTCGGGAGAGCGGCAGGGACACAAATCAAGCGAGGAGGGGCACTCCCTCGGAAAGCAGCCACTACCGACTCTGCTCGCTAAGGGGCACGCCACCTCCCCCTCGGTCCCTCAAGCACTGGTGTAAGCAAAGGCTCCATTTTCTGTTCCGGGAATCCTGGTACTTCCTAAAGAAAGAGAGCGGATTGGAAGACACGAACTCAGAGTCAGCGACGAGATGCGCCCTCCTCTCGAGACCGCCCCCGCTGCGCCTGGGGGAGGAAAGCACCACCTCTCCCTCTCCCTCCCTCTCCCTCCCTCTCTCTCTCTCTCTCCCCCCCCCCCCAGCCAGCCCGGCGCCCCCTCCCCCGCCGGCCTCCTCGCCCCTGCCCCCACCTGCCGACCCCTGCCCTCCCTGCAGCCTCCCTAGAGCAGAGGGCGCACCCTCCGACCGCCCTGACGGCTCCCCCCACGCACCCCCGCCCCAAGGCGGGGGCAGATGACGGGCTCGCCTCTGCCAGCCTTTTTTTTTTATTATTATTTCCCCCCCGTCTCCGATCTCCAGTTCCAGAGGCAGAGGGGAAAGGAGCAGGGGAAAAAAAAAGCCGTTTTCTCTAGCCCTGAAACAGGAAAAGGAGCCCCGAAACGGCTCCGCCGCGCCGCCCCCGCGCCCCCGGACCCGCTCCCCGACCCGGCCCCTCCGAAGCCCGATCCGCGGGCCCGGCGGACCGCGCGGGGCCTGGGGTCGCCCCCGGGCGCGGCAGAGGACGCCTCGCCGGGCGCCCCCCCCCCCCAGATCCGCGTCCTTCAAGCGCGGGGGCAGGAGCGGGGCCGGCCCGGCGCCCCCTCGGCGCGCTCGGAGCGGGCGGGCGCGCCGCCGCCGGCCGATCGAGCGGGGGTCCCGGCCTCTCGGCCCGGCCCGTCCTCCGGGCCCCGCCTTCCCCGCGGCCCTCACCTGTCCCCGCTCCCAGCTCCGCCGCCGCGGCCGTCGCCTCCTCCCGCTCGGGCTCCGCTCGGCTCCCGCTCGGCGCCCGCCGGCTCCCCCAGCCCACGCCGCTCCGGCTGCTCCCCCGGCCCCGCTCCCCGGCTCCCTCCTGCCGCCCCTCCACCTCGCACCGGAAGCCGCGACGGCGACAGGAGCTGCGCGGCGCGCCCCCACCCCCAGGCCAGCGACGTCCCGCCTCCCGATCGCGCGAGAGCGGCGGGGCGCCGGGCGGCGCTTCTCGCGAGACCCGTCGCCATGGCAGCGGCTGCCGCAGCGCTTCCCCGGGGCCGGAGCGCGAGCCCGGGCGGGGGCCGCTGCGGAGGCTGCGGGCGGCGCCGGCGGGAGCGGGGGGGGGGGGGGCTGGGGGCTGGGGGCGGAGGCGCCGCGGCGACGGGGGCTGCGGCGAGGATCCGCAGCCGCAGAGTCGGTCGGGCCTGACGTGTCGGGAGCGGGCGCGTGCTGGCCACGTTGGGGCGACCCACCCGGGAAGTCCTCAGGCGACGCTGGGCCGATTGCTCCAGAACTCGCCTTCATTCCTTTTTTGTTTTTCTTTGCTTTTTGGGTCACACCTGGCGATGCAGAGGGGTAACTCCTGGCTCTGCACTCAGGAATTACTTCTGGAGGCGCTTGGGAGACCCTGTGGGATGCTGGGGATCGAACCCGGGTCGGCTGCGTGCAAGGCAAACGCCCTACCCGCTGTGCTATCACTCCAGCCCCTCGCCTTCGTTTCTTTTTTTTTTTCCCTCTTTGGGTCACACTCAGCAATGCTCAGGGGTTACTCCTGGCTTTGCACTCAGGAATTCCTCCTGGCAGTGCTCAGGGAACCATACGGGATGCCGGAGATCAAACCCCGGTCGGCTGCGTGCAAGGCAAACACCTACCCGCTGTGCTATTGCTTCAGCCTCTCGCCTTCATTTTTTTTTTTTAATTTTTAATTTTTTGCTTTTTGGGTCACACCCAGCGATGCAGAGGGGTTACTCCTGGCTCTGCACTCAGGAGTTACTCCTGGCGGTGCTCAGGGAACCATACGGGATGCCGGGGATCGAATCCCGGTCGGCTGCGTGCAAGGCAAACACCTACTGGCTGTGCTATCACTCCAGTACCTCGCCTTCATTTCTTAAGCAGCGCTCATTGCAGCCTCCTGAAAGCTCCACTGCACTGGAGTGCATCGCTTACGACCCCTAGGGCTAGGGTTCTATGAGGTCTTTTCTCAGAAGGAAAAAAAGGAAGAGTAATGAAACAGAAGGTGATAACTGGACTAGGAAATTATAATTTGAAAGATGAACGATTTAAGTCTCATAGTCAGAGGAAGCCTAGATCGGTATAAATTTTAATAATCCAGAAATGAGAGGGGCTTCGTCCCCATGCCTTCGTCCTGCCCACCCCTCACACTCCTTTCTGCTCTGAAGTCAAGGTTGTCAGAGAAGGGCACTGGGACAGCAGGTAGAGCATTTGCCTTGCACAGCACACCCGATTTGATCTTTGGCATCCCATAAGGTCCCCCAGCACCACCAGGAGTAATCCCTGATCCAAGAGTAACCTCTGAGCACCTCCAAGTGTGGCCCCTCTACCAAAACGGGGGGAGGGAGTTAAACTGTGTGTTCATTTGCAGTAGTATAAAAGAGCACATGGTGGTTCTCTAAGTTTTGAGCCAAAATCGTTGCTTTTCTTAAACAAAAATATCCTTTTTTTTTTTGCCCGGGTTCGATTCCTCCGCCCCTCTCGGAGAGCCCACCAAGCTACCAAGAGTATCTCACCCTCACGGCAAAGCCTGGCAAGCTCCCCGTGACGTATTCGATATGCCAAACACAGTCACAAGTGTCACAATGGCGCCGTTACTGGGCCCGCTTGGGCAAATCGATGAACAACGGGAGGACAGTGCTACAATGCTACAGTGCCCTGTTTTATGTCTACTTCCAAGAACTATGCTCATCAATCCTGGGTGCATGAATTTATTCAATCCCTTCTTATCCCAGTCTGGTTTGGTGTGTGTGTGTTCGGGGGGGGGGGGGGGGTAGTGGTGGTGGTGGTGGTGTTTTAACCAGCGAATAACATGACCCTAGAATGAGAAGCTAAGAGCACCCTAATTTGAGATAAGGATGAGGCTGATAGCACGAAGCATGTTTAAAACCGAGTTCTGTCTCTCCTAGGATCATTAGGGCATTTGCCCTGCTAAATCCCACTTCTTACCTGGCAATGCTCAGGGCTTACTCCTGGTGGGCACCAGGATGGGGTACAGGGGATCAAATCCGGATAAGACAAAAGCCCTACCCACTGTTCTATCTCCCTGGCCCCCTAAAATCCATATTTAGTATTAGAAAATGCCCACAGTGTTGCTACAGACTCACTTAGTAGGTGCTGTGTATCACTTGCTTGTTTTTCTAGACTCTGATAGGTGGAACCTAAGGCTTTAGGTCCTCTCCTGGTTGGGTCCTAGGTGTGGCAGGTCATGTAAACAGTGATAACCTATTACGGCTGTAGCAAGCACCATGGTAGTTGAGTCAGAACTAATCACGGGAGAGGCTCAGGGTCTTCCTGTCCACCCCTTAGGAGTTTGGAGAGAAAAGTGTCAATTGCATCACTGGGAGCTTCCCATGGAGTAAACAGGAGCACAGATAGGAGAGTGCTGCCCAGCTGCCAACAGGCCAATCACTGCCACCACACGAGGGTGCCTGCCCCAGCTTCCCAGCCACTTGAAAAACTGAAAGAGAAAATTTTATCTAACGCCAAAGGAGACCAAGAGGCATGACTGACAACTCATCAGTCTTTCTCCCTCTGCTGCCACTGGAGCGAAGAAAAAGCTGAATTTGTCATCATTGGTAACTCACTCCGTGAGCTGCATTCTCCTGCTCCAGCCACTGACCCCAGGCCTGGGCCCAGTGTGTGTGCCCAGGAACTGGGGAGAGGGAGAGTATAAGCCTTGCTGACAGAATTCACGTGGAATCTTTCAGGGTAGTGGTTGGGGCTTCCAGTTTGCCACAGAGTGTGTCTGAAGAAAGGAGAGAGAAAGAGAGAGGGAGTTGACAGGAGTACAAAGGAAGGAAACAATAGCTAAAATATTCTGGCCGTGACCATTGAAATTTCTATTCTGGATATACTGTATCATTATTCTTTCATATTGTATATGTTCATTTAAGCTGAAGACTCTCACCCCACCTTCCCCTCTCCCCCATACTCACATACAAGACTCAGTGCCTAAAGACATGTTTAGTTGTCTATCTACCTCCACCAAGTGTCCGAACCCCAACTACTCAATGCTCAACTGGAAATTCATCCAACTTGTCATAAAGTACTGCCTAACCAACACTCCTCAAAAATGTTCTATCTGGGGGCTGGAGCGATAGCACAGCGGGTAGGGCGTTTGCCTTGCACGCAGTAGACCCTGGTTTGATTCCCAGCATCCCATATGGTCCCCCAAGCACGGCCAGGAGTAATTCCTGAGTGCATGAACCAGGAGTAACCCCTGTGCATCGCTGGGTGTGACCCAAAAAAAGCAAAATAATAATAATAATAATAAAATGTTCTATCTGATTTTTGAGGATGTTTTGTGTAGTGTATCTATTGCATAGAGAACTAGAGAGAACTATTCTACATTTCCTGACCAAGGGAGTTTGGAGAGAAAAGTGTCAATTGCATCACTGGGAGCTTCCCATGGAGCAAACAGGAGCACAGATAGGAGAGTGCTGCCCAGCTGCCAACAGGCCAATCACTGCCACCACACGAGAGTGCCTGCCCCAGCTTCCCAGCCACTTGAAAAACTGAAAGAGAAAATTTTATCTAACGCCAAAGGAGACCAAGAGGCATGACTGACAACTCATCAGTCTTTCTCCCTCTGCTGCCACTGGAGCGAAGAAATTGCAATTTATAAATATAAATTGCAATTTATAAATATTCAATTATTTATATACAGTTCTGAATGTCTGATACATATATGTTTAAATATGACTGTTTTCAAAGATAGTGTTAGGACTAGACTGTAATAAATTGGGATAACTAGATTGGAAAAGAGAAATAGATTGGGATAACTAGATTGGAATATTGGAAAATTGGAATAAAATACTTATCTAGTTGTGATTGTCTCCTAAATGGTATTTTACTGAATGCAGAAGAACTTTGAATAAGAAAGACCAAAATACATATGCAAATAATTCAGAACATGCTGATTTTGCAGGTTTCCAGGGCAAAAACACTCCTGTTTTGATGCGGGCTGTTGATAAAGCATTAGTCTTACATGTATAAAGCCCTTGGTTTGATCCCAGCAGAAAGCAAAAAAAACCCTCCCATTCTGAAAATAGGAATCTTTTATATGTTTCCTTGTATTTACCTCCTAAGTGGTTTGGAGTCAAAGGGGGGAAAAGCCTGCTTTTTTGGGTCTAGGCTTGATGACGAAGATATATTCAGGAATTGACAGGTCATGATCGAGGAGGGGATTAAGAAACTAACAGCTAGAGGCAAAGGACCAAATCTGGTCCTCTCGTCCAGCTTTGTCAATTATTTTTTCACTGGGCACAGCTATGCCCATTTAGGACTGCTTTTGATCTCCAACAGCAGTATTAAGTACTATAACAAGTCCACAAATGTAATATACTTAACATTAAGCCCTTTACATCTGGAGAGAAGGGAGCCTGTTCTGGTGCTGTGACCAAAGCAAAATCTGGAGACAAGGCAGACAGAGCCTGTGTTGGATCTACAGTCCTGACACCAAAAAGTCCCACCCGATTTCTCACATGAAAAGTTGCAGAATAAATCACTGGGGAGCATTTCAAAGCTTCTGGGGATTCAGGCAAGATACAAATCAGGTCACTATATGCAAAAGAATAGAAGAAATTCACCTGATAGGGCCGGAGAGAGAGTATAGCAAGCAGGGTGCTTGCTTTGCATGTGGCCAACCCAGGTTTGATCCCTGGCACCCCATATATTTCCCTGAGCCTTCCAGGAGTGGTCCCTGAGTGCAGAGCCAGGAGTAAGTCCTGAGTACTGCTAAAGGAGGAGGAGGAGAGAAGGAGGAGGAAGAGGAAGAGGAGGAGGAAGAAGGAGGGAGAAGGGAGGGGGAGGAGGAGGAGAAGGAGAAGATGACAGCTGGAAAAGAAGAAGCTTGGGTACTGGGATACCAAGTGTCGCAGAAATAATGCCATCTGCAGCCACCAGTCTAGTAACTTTATTTATTTTAGTTACAAAGAGCAACCAAGAACAAGTCTCGGTACAATAAATTATCCAGCCCACCCCTCCTGTTGAAAGAAAAATAGTCTCAAGGTGAAACTCTTCCTCTGTAAGTTCCTTAATATCTGAATGGAGGGAGACAGCTTCTCTCTGACACCGTACAGATGACTTTGCAAATGAGGGGGAACCCCCACCCTTTTCCTCCCCCAAGAAAAACCTCCCTTCTACTGTCTCCCATTTCCCCATGAGAAGGTGCTTATCAGATACTAGTCTTACAATTCACCAGGCATCGGGGACTAGCTCAGAGGGCAAGAGTGGTCAAGCTAGGAGTACTCCCCAGACACCGGAGTATGGATCAGTGTGAAAGAGAACCCAGGACTGGGGAGGGAAAACAACACAGTGCATTTCATCTTGTCCCTTCAGGTGTTTTAGAAGCAAAACGTCACAGGGGGGATAACAGGAATGTGGCTCCGCAGTAGAGCACTTGACCATCATGAGTAGGGTCCTGGGTTCATTTGCAAGGAAGGAAGGAAAAGTCAAGTCGGAGAGGGAGTACCGTAGGGCACTTCCCTTGCACATGGCCAACCCAGGTTTGATCCCGAGCACTGCATATGGTCCCCTGAGTACCACCAGGAGTGATCCCTGAGCGCAGAGCCAGGAGTAAGCCCTCAGTACAGCCAGGTGTGGGATAGAGAGGGACGGAGGGAGTGAGGAACGAAAAAAGAGGCAGGGTAGAATGAGAAAGAGAGAAGACAAGAAGAGGAGATGGATAGTATAGTACAGAGGGGGGTGGTCATGCATGCAGTCGATGCCAATTTGTCCCCCGGCACCAAGTATGATCTCCTGGAGCACTGCCAGAAGTCCCTCCTGACCACAGCGCCAGAGCACTGCAGGGTGTGCCTTCACAGAAAAGAAACCCCCAAAAAGAGCAACAGAGGATGACAGCTTCCGGCCAGGTGCCCCTCGGGTGGGGGACCAGGCTGCACACAGACTCCGGCCCGATGCTGCCACCACCTGCAAAGCTGTTTCCAGGCAGGTATTGTGAAGCTCCAGTTGGGAAGGCTGCCCCTGGTGGAGGCCAGCAGCAGGAGAAAAGCGACCCTCCCGGCGTGAGGCAGCCCCTCACTTGCACACATTGACCCACTCGGCCACCTTGCACTCGTCACACAGCACGTAGCAGCACCAGTGGAAGCGGCAATGGCAGCGCTCAACTCGCGTCTGTCGCAGCACGTTGTGCCCACGGCCGCAGCACAGGCTGCCACAGCCATCCAGCAGGCGGCTGGTCTTGTTGCAGGCCCGGCCCCTGGTGCCCGGGGAGCCCACCGTGGGGTCGCGCTCGCAGAAGTCAGGAGACTTCTCAAAGTAGACCAGCTCTCCGGACAGGCGGCGGGGACGCAGGCGGGGTTGGAAGGCCCCGGAGTTTCGGTTGTGGGTGTCGATGAAGATGGCCCGGCCCAGCCGCTCCCGCAGGGCTGCTCCCACGGCCCGGAACTCTGGGGCCGCTCTCCAGCAGGTCTTAAACTGGCAGCTGCCTGATGTGCCGTGGCACTTGCATTTCCGCTTCAGGTTTTCTGTTACCACCTAGAGCAGGAGGAGAATGGGAAGCGTTGCAGGACTGGGCAGCAAAAGAGCCGAGCATTGGCACCAGAGAGGGACTACGGGGCAAGGGAAGAGCTGCCGCACCACAGGCTGCCTATAGACCCCTCATTTTCAGGTTCAAGAACCAGAGCCAGGGGCTGGAGCGATAGCACAGCGGATAGGGCATTTGCCTTGCACGCGGCCAACCCGGGTTCGATTCCCGGCATCCCATATGATCCCCTGAGCACCGCCAGGGGTGATTCCTGAGTTTCCTGAGTGCAGAGCCAGAAGTAACCCCTGTGCATCGCCAAGTGTGCCCCAAAAAGCAAAAAAAAAAAAAAAAGAACCAGAGCCAGAGCTGACTTGCTCATCTTCAGATAAGAGATCCAAGCGGGTAGCTAGCTGGGTTGGGATTCACGCTTAATGGTCCTGACTTTCCAGAGTGAATTATTGCTAAAATGGGGAATTTGTTCCCAGAGCATCTCTGAATTCTACAGAGAAGGTGGCTGCAATAATAGCATCCCTGAAGGAGGTCCGGCTGGGCTGCAGACAGGCTGCACAGGCTGTGTGCTGGGTGCTATTTGCTGGCTCGAGGGCCGGCAGATATCCTCTTTCAGATGTAAAACCCAAGTGACTTGCCTAAAGTCACTGGGTGGTGGTGTGTGTGTTGGGGGGGGGGGGGGCGCCGCGCCGTCTTCCGGTGCTGTGCCTGTCCCTCTCCAGCCAGACCTCGAGAGCAGGGAGACTCACATACCTGGCGCCCCACTCTGTTGTTGTGGATTCGCATTCGTGCCTGGATGTCCCGAGGAGCTTCCCTGGAATCCAAGAAATCCCGAGAGAACTTCTCTCCAAAGTCCATGTCATGGCTGCAGCCACCCCATTCCCATGTGTCCTGGGGGCCGGGGTTGGGGCCAGAGCCAGGCCCTGGGCTGGGCAGGGAGTGGGGGAAACTCTTTCCCCGAGACAGCGCCTGCAGCTGCAGCAGCTTGGCCCTCAGCCGGCCCTCCTCGCCACTGCCCTTCCAGCCGCAGCCGCAGCTCACCAGCTTGCCCAAGCTGCAGGCCGTGGCCACCGCGTGCATGACCCCCGCAGCCAGCATGGAGAAGGAGAAAGCACTCTCGCGGAAACCTGGGGGGGAAAGGGGTGAGGACGGTTCGGGTGAGGCTGACAGGCAGAGAGAAGGCAGGAAAGAAGCAGACATCCTCCCGTACCAAAAGTTCCGGGTGGCTGCCTCTCCCGTCTGCCAGTTTAGTAATTCAGGAGAAAGTCTGGAGAGAAAGAAGAGAGTCCTAATCTATAAAGGGAGAGGCTGCCGGGAGAAGAAGGTCTCGGAGGCCCAAACTCCCGGTAAATCTAGGCTGTTCAGGTGTGGATGAAAGCGTTAGCCTAGAGGGAAAGTCCCCTAGGGGTGGGGGGATGACTAACAGGGAGTCCCGGAGGTCTTTGAAGATGCCTCCACTGAGTTCTACATCTGAAAGCCTTAGAAATTCCCTGGCCCTGCAGGGTGCTTGGGTGGGGTGGAAGCAAAGGCGTTTGGGGTTCTTTTTTATTTCTTTCCCCTTCGGGGTTATGTGAATCAGTCTTGCAACCAACCAATGCTCTAACACCCCATCACCCCAAAGCACTGGCGCTGCAGAGCTGCCCTTCCGTCTCTCCAGTTTCTGTAAATTTATTTGCCCTGTTTACCCTAACCTGCTATTACTCTATAAAACCCTGCCGGGGGAGCGAGGTGGGGGCGACTTTCCCTGAGGCCCTCTTAAAATGTCGCCTTCTTTGTTAACATTTTTGGGGGTCCCTGGAGTTCAGGATGACAAGCCTTTCCCGGCTTAGGTAGACATGCTTCTGCTGTCTGTCCCAAAAGCCTTCGCCCCGTGACCCGGTTCTGTGGGGAAGGAGGGGGTTCCTCACTTCCTTTGAGGAAAGGCTCTCCGAGCCCGGGAGGATGAAAGAAAGCCTCCTTGGAGGCCAGGCCTCTTCCCCGCAAGATGCAGGGCTCCTGGCCCAGCCTCCTTGATCCCCCCCACCAACCCCAGCCTCCAGGGGTGAAGCTGCTTGCACACGTCTTGGGAATTCCCCTGCAGACGGCAGCTGCCTATTAACCCTATAGTCCCCACAGCCCTGCCCCACCCAGAGTGCAACCCAGGATGGGTCTGTACCCCTGGGGGCCAAGGCTGACACGGCCTGGCGAGGGGTAGAGGTGCCTCCCAGCCCAGGCCCCCCAGACCAGGCTGGCACTGGCCTGCTCCGGGGCCCCTCCAGCCAGGTGAGAGTCACCTGGGGCCCCCACAGTACAGAGGAGGGGGCTGCTCCCAGCTTCAAAGCCATCAGGGTCTTTGTTCCCAGCTTTCGCTCCTGGGAACCCCAGCAATTAGGGGAGTAGGTTTAACCCTTAAACGGTTGGGGGTGTCACCCCACCCCCGCTGAGGCTCTGGGGACACCCGCCTGGACTTGTCCCTAGGAGTGGGGGAGAGAGCCGGGGGAGGGGCAGGAGGGGGGACGGGGAGGCTTTCAGGGCTGGGGGCATCTGTCGCTCGCTCGCAGGTGCAACCCGGAACGAACCGGCAGAGGCAGGAGAGGGGGGCCCGCGGGGAGGGGCGCGGAGCCGCAGCTGGCGGGCCGGAGCGCGGGGCGCGCGGGGCGCGCGGGGCGGGGGGTTCCCGGGAGGCCCCTCCCCGGGGGCGCGCCCGGCCGGCTCACCGCGCTTGAGGATGGCGCTGTGGTGCGGCAGGCGGCCGCCGCTCTCGAGCGCCGAGCAGTTCCAGCGCTGGTCGCGCAGCTGGTGCTGACACTCGTGGACCGCGATGTGCAGGCCCTGGAGCGCCGACGCCGTCACGTCGGGGCTGCGCAGGCACAGGCCCAGCTGCCGCTTGCTCAGGCCCGACAGCGCCAGGCACACGGTGTTGGCGGTCAGCGGCGGCTCCCCGGGCAGCTTCAGGCCCAGAATCTCATGGCTGAGGGCCCTGGGGGGAGAGGGCGCTGGAGGGTCGGTCGTCCCCACCGCCCCCCCCCCTCCGCCTGCTGGCGGCGCTGGGTCACCGGGGGCGCGGGTGGGGCGGGGAGGGCGATCCGCTCACCGACTGCACAGCGCCAGGAACAGGAGACCCGCGAGACCCGAAGGCGGAGGCCGCGGCCGGGGCCCCTCCAGCCCGGGCATGGCCAAGCCCGCTGCCTGGAGGGCCGCGCGCTGCTTGGAGCAGGGCCTGCGGGACAGGGACACTGCTCAGGGCGGCTCTCCCGGCCGAAAGATGCCCGGTGCCTGGCGCGCGGCTGCCCCGCGCCACCCACCGACCTTTCTGATCCCACCAGAGTCACCAGTCCTGGCTCCGGGAGAGAGTCTGTGCCCGGCAGCTGGGACTCCCAGGAGCGCCCCGGGCCGCCCGGCCAGCGCGGTGCCTGGCACAGGGACACTCGGACACCCAGACACTCACGTGCAGACTCCGCCTGGGAAATGCCCGCTCCACCACTCCGCCCGCCGCCACCTTTTCAACTGGCTCCCCCATCCAGCCCGAGCGGGGGGAGCGCGGTCAGGAGGGGGTTCCCCACCACCCACAGCTGGATGGGAGGGGGGCAACGTCGCCTCCAGGTGCGGGGAGACGGCAGGCAGCCAGCCTGCAGCGAAGACCAGAGGCACGGCCCCCGCCCAGCTAAGCCCCCTCGAGGGCAGGAGGGGGGGCGCCAGGGCTCCAGGTGCGCAGGCTGGCAGGGGGCCGCTTCCCTCCCGAGCAAAACTGGGCTTCCTGGGTGCTCTCCGCGCGCAGTTCCACCTTTCCCCTCCCTCGGATCACCCATCTAGTCGCCAGGTTCCAGTCTCAGTCTCCACCCTCCGCTCTCCCGTTCATTGACCTCCAGATCTGGGGGTGCTCCTGTATTTGCTGTTTTTATTTCTGACAAATCTCCGGTTCTCCGGTTCGTTCCCTCCCGGTGCCCCGGAGGATGCAGGGCCGCCCGCCCGCGTGGTTGTCCCAACCCTCCAGATTACCTCCAGCCGCTGAGCGGCTCTGGCGCGGGGTCCGGCTCAGCTCGAGCTGCTCCAACCCTGGGGAGGCTGCTTTGGGCTCTGCCCCCCACTGCAGAGCCGCATTCTTCCAGGGCAGGGCCACTCCTCTTCGCCGCTTCCCCAGCGGCCGCTGGGAGGAAGGGAGGGAAGGAGGGAGGGAGTGATCGAGAAAAGGAGCAAGCGGGTGAGCTAAACGCTGGAGGTTCTGGCTCCTCTCGGCGAGCTCATGGACAGCTCTGCCGGCTGACGGAGCTGCAGCCCCTCCCCGAGCCCCGGGCATTCCCACCCCACTGCACACACGCACACACACCCCACACGCACCCGCCTTGACCCGGGGAGCAGAGCCGCTCCCCCTCCTTCCAACACACGCATACACACCCTCTCCCCCGACGACAGGCTCGGCCCACTGAAAAGGAAGGGGGGGCTAGATTTTCTCTCACCTGCTCTGTGGTCGTCAAGGCTGCTGAAAGGATGTACTGACCCATGCTGGAGAGCCAAGGATTGGTGCCAGTGGCCAAGACTTTTCTCATCTCTCCCTGCCTCGGATTCCCCTGGAGAGCAGGGTGGCTCATCAGGCATTGGACGGTGGCTGGAGAGGTTCCCGTGCCGGGCACTGGGGCTGGCAGCGAAGCCGGGAGGACCGGCTTCCCCCGAGCTCTGAGCTCTGCGCCTGCCCCTTGGGAGGGGTCAGCTCTGGCCTCGGGGCTATCCCTCGCAGAGCCCGGGTAGCCCCAAAGATCATCAGCCTGCCCTTTGCTTTCCTCAGCGTCCAGGCTTCCCTGCCCACAGAGCTCTCTGCCTTTTCCAGGGTTCCAGCTCTGCACTGCAGGCAGCCCATAGACCTGCTCCAATCAGGACTGGCTTGACCGGATCTCAAACTGAGGACAGCCAGGGAAATCTGCTCTGGGAGCAGAGACCCAAACTGCCGGCCTGAGGGAGCTCCAGCGGCGGCAATGAAGGGGTTAGATGCCTGTGCTCCTGCCTGACTCACCCTCCAGCTTCAACCACTGTGGGCTATTTTTGCCAGAGAGGGGCCCCAAGCCTCCCAGCCACCCCCCACCCCTGCCAGACCGCAGTCCAAGGCACAGCTGGCCCCGTGCGCCCAAGCCTGGCACATTGACTCAGAAACAGGCCCCCGGGGAAGCAGGGCCACGGGCCTGAAACCCACAGCCATAGTCATCTCTTCCTGGGGGGGACCGTGCCGCCAGGCTAGGCCATGCTCTCTGCAGCAGGTCCTGCCCGAACTGAAGGGAGCAGAGCGACCTGACAGATCGATCGGTGACAAACACCTGGAGGGGGATTTAGGGAGCACTTTGAGTAGCAGGACGTGAGCAGGCTGGGAAGGGGCTCGTGCCAAGGTTCCCTACAGGGGGCTGTTGTGACCACAGAAGGAAGCTTCTCTCTGATCTCCTGCCTCTTCATCAGCGGTGCAGGGAGGACGCCTGCACTCTGGCGCCAAGAAACAACCCACACATGGCTTTCAAGCAGACCCGATCTGCGAGCCTGTCTCAGTAGCTTGGGTGGAGTGCTCCCTGCAGTGCTCCTTGTCCTCTCTGCACGGCAATCTGGGCTCCACCCAGGGTGGAGGAAGAGGGGCTGAGGTTTCTTGTACCCAGAGGGCCCCTCTCAGACATCTACGTGTGTTTGCCCACATGTGTCTGAGTCTCCCTTGGGTTTCACGTTTCTTCCACTCCTGCCCATGCCAGGCGCGGAAGTGCCAAGGAGGACCCAGGACTAGCCCCGCTGATTCCAGCTTCTCCCTGACCCTGTCCCACATGCATTCCCTCTCCCTGCGCAAGTCTGGGGGAGGCCACAGGCGGGCACCCTGGGTGGCCTCTGCTGGCCCACAGTGCCCTCTGCCCGACCGATTGGCCTGAGCACTGACCCGCAGGGCTGGAGGGTGGTGGGGCAGGCGGGGCCTGGAGCAGGCTGTGGGTACACACCCATTGCCTAATACCCCAAGCACGCGGCCAGCTCCAGGAAAGGGGCGGGGCGGGAACCAGAGAGACCTTGACAAGCACTGGGGCCTTGACAAGAGGGGGAAAGTATGGGGCTGTCACTATTGCAGGGAGGGGGTGGGAGCTGGGGGTGCCCTTTGCCTCTGGCATGATGGGCTCCCTCCCACCTCCAGGGCCGGAGCAGAGGGACCTAGGGAGACACCGGGGCCCTGGGAGGTGGGGGCAAAACCCAGTGGGGGCCCCTGGAGATGGGGGAAATCGAGCAAGCCGAGGCGGTGGCTAAGGCTGCGCACGGCCTTGGGAACCTCCTCCCCACCCCCTGTTTGCCTTGGCCCAGGGTCCCGAGTGACTCATCGATTGCTGAGCCACTGATAGGGGCGGCCAGGCCCGGGGAACCCAAATTATAGGCCCGGGAGGGATGGATGTGCCCGCGGCGGGTAGCTCAGCTGTGCTGCCCACCCTTCTCCTCTCACGCCTCTTCTGCTGCAGCGCCAACGGCCACCGCCTGGAGGCACCAACGGGTCGAAGTCCTGCAGTGCTAGGGAAAACCCCACTAGCAGCAGCTGGTCCCAGCAAACCTGTGGGATTACCACCTAGACAGAACTCGGGCAGCGCCGATGCCTTCCCAGCCCGAGGAGACAGTGCCGCCTGCTGGTGCTTCGGAGGAACACAGGCTCCCCTACCCACGACCTCAGCACCCTTCCTCTCTTCAAGGTAACAGACGCCTCCTCCCCCCCAGCCCCCCTCCCCCCCCCCCCCCCCCCCGCCAACATCCCCCCTTTTTCCTAGTCCTAGGTGGTGCTTGGCAGTGGTTTGCTTCTAGTTTTCTAAGTCAAGAGTTTGTTATTACCTTTTAGCTTGTTGGGGGACCACACAGAAAGTGCTCAAGAACTACTCCCAACTCGGTGCTTGGGGCTCACAGTGCAAGGGTGCGCTGGGGACCAGGTGGTGCCAGGGAATGGACCCAGGCCTCCAGCATGCAGGGTGCCTATCCTGTTGACCAACCCCTAACTTTTACACATAAAGGTCAAAAGTGACACATAAAAAATTAAGGAGGGCAGGAGACTGGAGAGATAGCACAGCGGGTAGGGCGTTTGCCTTACACGCGGCCGACCTGGGTTCAATCCCCGGCATCCCATATGGTCCCCCAAGCACTGCCAGGAGTAATTCCTGAGCGCAGAGCCAGGAATAACCCCTGAGCATCGCTGGGTGTGACCCAAAAAGCAAAAAAAAAAAAATTAAGGAGGGCAGGGGACTGGAGCAATAGTACAGTGGGTAGGGCATTTGTCTTGCATGCAGCTTACCTGGGTTCAATTCTCAGCATTCCATATGATCCCCTGAGCACAGAGCCAGGAGTAACCCCTGAGCATCACCGGATGTGGCCCCTCCCCCAAAATAATGGAATAAAGTAGGGCAGGAAAATGTATCAAATTGCTAAGGAGGCTCAGCATCACATGGTCCCCCAAGCATCACAACTCCCTTCGCCACCCCCCCAAAAGAAAGAAAAGGGAGAAAAAGGAAGGAGTCAAGGAGCTAGAAGAGCGATCAAAGCATTTGCCTTGCACGTGGCCAATCCAGATTCAATCCCTGGCATCATAATGGTCCCCTGAGCACTACCAGGAGTGGCAAAAATTATTTTTTGTTTTTAAAGAACATATAGGCCAGAGCAATAGGCCAGCGGGTAGGGTTCATGCCTTGCACGTGGCTGGCCTGGGTTCTATCTCTGGCATTCTATATGGTTCCTTGAGCACCTCCAGGAGTGATTCCTGAGTTCAGAGCCAGAAATAACCTCTGAGCACTGCCAGGTATGGCCCAACCCCACCCCCCAAAAAAAACACCCCCCAAAAAGTAAAGAACAGGTAAAGGAGATAGGTTGTGGAATTTCGTTGTCTTTAGGGGAGAAAGCACCTGGGAACAAAGTCGTGTAGGTATCTCAGAAAGGACATTTAGGAGACAGAAGAAGCACGTTCTAAGGCTTGAGACTGGAGCAGGCTCTGAGTGCTGAGAGAGCAGGAGGGAAGGAGGAGTCTGCAGGGAGGCACAGAGGGAAGGAAGCCGGAGGATGAGAAGGAACGAGATCATATAGGCCAGTAAAGATTTTGGCTTTTTCTTTGAGTGAGATGAGTAATCGTTGGAAATTCTGAACAGAGGAATGAAATGATCTGACTTCTGTTCAAAAGAATGGACTTGGCTGCTGTGTGGAGA